CATCTAGTATTCCTACACTAAACGACCCTTACAAGGTGACAAGAGGGAAAGTTCTGGTTCCCAAGCCCCTTGCCCCTACCCAGTTTCTCACAGTGGTGTGTTCTCAAGTAGAAACGTAAGCAACGCACAGTGGTCTGAGAGCACGACAAAAATCGAAAATCCAAATTGCGTTTAGAGGGTTACCAATATCACCCTTTTATTCCTAAAGGACCAATATACCATGAATAAAGCTCGTTTTTGGCCTTCTCGTCCCTATAAAATAGATATAACCACTCAAACTGGGACTATTTTCACTCCCCTGCTCGCGGCTCGATCTCTTCTGAATCATCTCTCGACTTTAATCTCGATTTAAAGAATAGTTTCTGATCGCCCAAGCCAAACTCTTATACCGAATTAAAGAACAAACTTTCCGCTTCATTTTGGTGGGTCGGACGTCCCTCTACTCCAAAAAATTTGTGTTTTATGAACAATTAAAGATATGCGTGTATCGGCTGACAAATAGACGAAAATGCCTATTTTTTATTTGAGTTTTAAAAAAACGCCCGCATTCGCCCGTAATTTGGACAACGGTTTTAGATTGTCAAAGAGTCAAAGTTTAAGGGACAACCGGCACATTTTCCCTTTTTTTCCCTTTTTGCCGTAAAAATGAGTTCAAAGTCAGCTTTCCGAACGGTTCCGCACTCGTCCGGAGAGGTCGCTGCTGTGCGGGGGCGAGCCGCGCTGCGCCAAGGGCTCCGAGCAGGAAGCAGGCAGCTTGTCGTTCCCCCTCGTGCGTTATAACCCGAGGTTCCACGTCGTGGGTGTGTGTGAGAATGAGTTCGCACCACCCGGGTGAGCTTGACGGGGACGTGCTGCGCCCGAGTCTACGACCTGCCGGTTGTCCGTCCTCGTCTCTGGAAAGTGATACTTGGACGGTGACGTCGGGGGCGTCCTCACAGGTAACGGGCCTGGCGCAGGACGCACGAACCACCCGGGTGAGCTTGACGGCGACGTGCTGCACCCGAGTCCACGGCCTGCCGGCTGTCCGTCCGCGTCCCCGGAAAGTAATACTTAGATTGTGACTTCGGCGGCGTCCTAACAAGCAACGGGCCTGGCGGAGGACGCACGCACCACCCGGGTGAGCTTGACGGCGACGTGCTGCACCCGAGTCCACGGCCTGCCGGCTGTCCGTCCACGTCCCCGGAAAGAGATACTTAGACGGTGACTTCGGCGGCGTCCTAACAAGCAACGGGCCTGGCGCAGGGCGCACGAACCAACCGGGTTAGCTTGACGGCGACGTGCTGCACCCGAGTCCACGGCCTGCCGGCTGTCCGTCCGAGTCCCCGGGAAGAGATACTTAGACGGTGACGGACATCTTTTGCACAGTCCGACCAATGAATGTATTGATCTGCATGTCGAATTGGAAAGAGCACCCTCGAAAACCTCTATAAAGCAAATATCACAGAATTTGAACAATTTTTGAGCCCCCCCCCCTTTTTGTACTGGTTCCGCCCCTTCCACATCAAAATTTCTTGCAGAATTGGAAAGAGCAACCTCGAAAACCTCTATATCCCGAATACGACTGAATTTGAACAATTTTTGACCCCCCCCCCCCTCTTTTTGTACTGGTTCCGTCCCTTAGAGATCAAAAATTTAAACGAAAATGGATACAGCACCCTCGAAAACCCCTTGGGACCACCTTGCGTTTCGTGTGAGCTCTTCAGTACAGGCGCCACGATTTATGTCGCGAAATCGGCGATTTCAGACCACTGTGCGCTGGTTGCGGCCTCGCCGTGTCCCCGCGCGAGACTCATTGCGATCAGGGTCCAATGGTCCATCCAAGTCGACGGACGAGGGGCGAGGGCGCGCTTAGAGGCGGAGGGCGACTCTTTGGCACAGATTGGGCGGCCGTGGCGCCGGCCGGGGGCCGCCACGTGTTGGACTTCCTTGACGCCTTGCTGCAGGCAAACCTTGCTCTTTTTGGTCATCGGGAACCTTTGCTCGGCGGCGGCCCGCCGCATACCCTCCTGATGGCCGGCCGTGCGTCTGGTGCGTGTCCCGGCCGATCTTTGCTCCGCTCGCCTCAGGTCTGCGCGGCGGCGCGGCAGGGGCGGGGCGGAGGCGGGGGCGCGGCG